GAGTCCAAGACTACAATCTCGTTCGAACGAACAATGTATTGCCCACACATCACGTCGTGGCAATAAGTCACGTATCGGTACGGAGCTCCTGTTCGTCAACAATAACACAATGTAAAACAATCAAGAGAATGAAAAACAGCGGCAGAAAAAAATGGCATCTTCTCAGCAAGTTCAGCCAGGCCCCTTGACGACGACTCATCTCACAAACAAGTTTCCATGAGAGTTCAGGGAAGGGTCGGCTTAGCCCGCGATGAGGTACATGCCCGCCAGGGAAACGATTGGATGAGATGACTTTCTGGCAGCAGTTGTGACTGTGTTTCTGGATGCCACAGAGGAGTGAGTGGCTGGGAAGTGAGTTGGTTCATTGAGAGAGAGAGAGAGAGAGAGAGAGAGAGAGAGAGAGAGAGAGAGAGAGAAGCATGTGTCGTACTGACGTACGATTGGCTCGTTGTCACTGCAAGCTACAAGGGGTTTTAAGTGCTTGCAGTTGAACGTAATTGGTTGGGTCTGGCTTCTTTTCGAGCCAACGCCGAAGTCCTGGGTTCCCATCTATCAAGAGTTTTAGAGGCCCTCGTCAGCTCCGAAGGTAGATCCCCTTCCCTGCTTTTCTCGCTTCGGCCATCGTGCGATGCGAGAGTTGTAGCGTCGCGCGAGACTTTGCTAGCTGGTGAGATAGCTGGAGAAGCTCTATTGGGTTCTACCCAGGAACCAGGGGAGGGGAGGGAAGCAGGAAGCACGACATCGACGTCAAGGCCAGACTGCCTCGTGAGTCGTCAATGATTCCAGCATGTGGCTTCCCCCCCCCTTTACCCTCGTCCCTCTTCCCGGCAACATCCCACCATTCCCTCCTTCCTCCCCGCGGCCGACCTGCACTCAGCAAGAATCCGGATACGACCTCGGACTACGGTAGTGTGGACACCAGACCCGGGACTTGACCACAAACTTGGAACCTCGTCCGGCCGGCGCCCAGCCTCTGAACCTACGGATACAACCTCTCCACTCTTCCTCAACCCCAGTTCTTTGCGTCACTTTTCTCTGCAGCTTTTGCCGTGTCCATAGGGAGTATGGATACTCGTAGGGCAAAAAAAAGAATAAGCACGATCGCCCGCCAATCACTTACCCCCGCCCAGGCCGGGAAAATAGATGGGAAAAGCCTGTGCGCACTGCGCGCTGCCCCCCTCCCCGGTACACGCCATAGGATATATATAATGGCGGGGTCTCCCGGTCGAGATGCATGAATTCCGGGAGATTACGCACATACGCATGCAGCCCTCTCAGGAACACTCCTCTGAGGTTTCTGGCTTTTATTCCTCCTTTCCTTGAGGGGACCGATGAGGGGGCTCCTGGGGCTTTTTTTTTTTCTCGGTCCTTTCTCATCGCGCCTGCCACGAACCAACAGAATTCCTTGGTTGATCTTCTGCCCTTTGCCTAAATGGATCTCCTTCTGGGATGCTTTCTCTGGGAGACTCCGCCGAACCGAAACAACCGTGTGTGCTCCGTAGAACGAGAGAGACCCGAAGACATGTCAGGGACCCAGGGGGGAAAACCAGGACTACACTACTCACAGAAGGAAAGAAAGAAGTTCTTGCTAGAGTCCAGGTCTCCTGGAAGATCCCTGAGAACACGGACTGTCAAGCCCGGGCTGTCTCCGGGCGATAGAGGAGGAAGCAGAAGGAGGAAGAAGAAGGAGGAGGAGAAAGCTGGAGCGGCCGGTCTCCGACATCCGAAGACCAAAGACCAAAGACCAATGCCCCCATTGTCCGCCAAATCGGCCAGCCAGCTTTCAGGCCGGCCATCCATCGAGACGTGTGTATCGCCGCGCGAATTTTCCGTCTTAACTTTGTGACCCTTCGTCACAGTAGCCGCCGTCACCTCGACTAAATGCCAGAGCGTTGTGCAAGAGTCAAAGACGCCGTTCCGTTTCCATCCAAACGCTGTAAACAGCATAACACAACGTTTCTCTCACATCCAAACACACAAACACCCTTACCAAAGTTTCCAAATATCTATAAGCGGCTCCTTCTGCCGGTGTCCCCCGCCAGCTGAACCGCCTCTTAAATTTCCAAGCACATGGCGAAAAGGAAGGTCAAAGTAGGCCAAAGACCTCCACCCGTAGTCATACTTTATGCCCTCTGCCCCCCCGGCGGACAGGTAATCGAAGCGAAGAGGCCCGGCTTCCTTCTCCGGGGCGAGCATCATCCACTTCCACCTCCACCGGACACGCCGGGTTTCCTTCTTGGAGGCTCCCCTTGTTGTTCAGCTTTCCACCTGGCGCCATATCGTAGTATAGCCTGGTTCCGGTTCCTGGTCTGATCTTCTTCCTTCCCCCCTACACCCCCAACCCGGAAACCCCTGGCGTATTCCATCCACTGTAGCGTGGCCCCTCGACGATGACAAGCACTTGCCGTATTATCTGTCAATCTGTATTCGTGTGTGTGAGTATCCTAGATACCTTCTTGTGTGCGTGGTATCCGCAGTCTACACATACCCGCTCTCCTCGCCCACTTACCCAAACCCCCCTGCAACATCCATACCACACCCCGGCAAACCCACGCGCATTGAGGCTTCCCTCTCGCCGTCCTAAGCCCAAGCCTTCAGGAGGCTGTGACTCCTCACTCCAAATAGTGAAGGACTCAGAAGGAGAGGGGCCAAGAAGGAACCAAAAGGAGCCAAGACAACGTTCTGGCATACAGAATACCACCCATCGTCCGTCTCCAACATCTATCATCCCCCACCCCCGTCCCCGTCGGCAGTTGACCGTGTTCCTGGACCAGGCACGGGAGGAGGAGAGACGCACGCAGGGTACGGGATATGTAGGTACGGAGCATGTCATGTATCCGCACCCAAAGAGAACCCCTCCTCACAAACGCGGTACCAACTAACTGCCTTTGCCCTGCCACTATCCATACATCCATACATCCATACCAAACCGCCCGCACATTCGCCCGTCCTTGGCTCTGGCCCAGGCCTCATCTTCTGCTAAACAGTCCGTCCGGCTATGTGTGAATAAACGACATGCCCCTCTAGGCCCCCACCGATCTTCAACCCATCGGCATCGAGGGGTCGGGGGGGGGGGTCCCCTCACAACTAACACTACCCCTGCCCTGTCCCTGGATCCCGCGCAGCGTCAAAGTCCAAGTTCGAGTCAACTCGCGCCGGCGGGCTGGTCTCCCTCCTCGTCTCCTAGTACTTAGTATAGTCTCCTCGTCTTCCTGCTCTTCGTCCTTCCCTCTTTGGGCAATGCCACGTCTTCAAGTCCCCGCCATCCCAGCTCTACAAGCCTGCGCATGCCCGAAAACCCCTGAACCCATCCCGCGCGCCGTTTTCCGTTGTTCCTCTCCTTCCCACCCTCCCCCTGGCACGCCCTGGCTTCACGTCCCCTATCTTGTTTTCCATGTGTTTCTGCGGCACATCTTTCTTCGTTCTTCCCACAAAGTCCCCATCGCGATTCTCAACGGTCGGGATGTGGACTTGGGAGTGTTGGTGCTAGTGGGCGTAGAGTCTTAACTAAGAAGGGTGTCAAGGGGAAGCGGGGTGTCGAGGAGTCATGGCATGGCATGGCAGTTTGAACATAGGCGATCGGGTCTTCTGTCACTCCCGAGCCTTTGACGGACAGATCACGACGGCCCCCTCCCCCCTCTATCTAATTGCCAACGGACGGCCGTGGTGTGGCTGGCGCTTCAGATCGTTTGTCACTCTCTTCGTCCATCTCGGGAGACGCAGTAATGACCGGATTCCGCACAAATATGTCTCCTCCTAGATACGTGATACGTGGTATGAAAAAGGCTGTTAGTGAATGTCATATCGCCAAGCGAATCATCACCAAAATTGCTCCTCATTCTGAAATGACCGTGTATTCCTCATTCTGCGCGGGTTAAACGAAAAATCTAACTAGTACTGGCTTTGCCCCCGAGGTTTTGTCCCAACGATAACAACCGAATTTTCCCATTTTTGGCCCGCCACCCGACCTCCAGAACGGATCATCCAAGACCGTCTTGTCCTCCTCCTCCTCCTCCCATGTGACTTTGTTGAAGTCTTACCATGAAAATGTTCCCGGCCTACTTTCGCCCTGATCCAGTCATTTGTTTTCCCAACCCTTATTCCACCTTTTCCTCCCCTTGATATCATTGGTATGTCCTCCTCGAAATTCAAAACTTCGACTGCAGGTCCAGTCGTTGGGGTCTCACTATTTAGCTATCTACGATTAAGTTGTGGAAAGAGCATGTAAGGGAAAGGGCTGGTGGGGCGGTTCAGAACTACAGAAGAAAAGAGAAAAAAACAGAAAGGACTGAACGAAAATCAGAAAAAGAAGAGAAGCAAACAAACTGAACGGAACAAAACTAGCCCCCCATTTTCCCCCAATGTCTCTTCCGTGGGTGTTGATGAAATGATGAAACTGGGCCATTATCGCAAAAAGATCCTGCACTCTGGTGTCACGTCATGTTTTGCACGTGGCGAAGAAGCGACGTGCGAAACTAACAATTGGTATCCTCCTCTTTCGGGGCATAAAGCATGGGTGGTCGTGCTCAAACGAAGACAGAACGTCGGTCAGGAAGCGAACTTGATATAGGAAAGGAAAGGAGATAGATGAATCAACCGTGGATGGTGGTAATGGTGGATATTGTGATGGTGAAAAGGTAAGGTAGTAAGATTTGCTTGGAAATCGTCATGACACATTGTCCCTTTTCTCTCTGTCATCCGGGGGAAGTAGTTTCGGAGTTTTTCTTTTTGTTTTTCTTGTCCCGTCAAAAAAAAGTCCAACACCCTTTAGCACCCTCCCAAATTTTGTCCCATCCTCCAAAGGTATCCCGTGATGCCCAAGTCTATAAGAAGGTAGGTCAGGAAAAGTTCGTTGTTTTTCGTGACGACGTTTCGGTAGTGTACCACAGGCACGCGCTGCGGCGGGGGTAAGTCTGCGTGACAAAGGAAAAGAATAACAGAAAAAAGTGGTATCAGTCGTGTGTGTTGTTTCTCTGCCATAACAAGATCAAGGAACCGCGTCAAATCATGCCAGGCATGCCTTCCATTGGGTTGATGACGTTCCTCTGCTGGGCTTGGTTCTGTACCATCTGCCCTTGGTTCATTTGAGGCATGGGCGGCGGCACCTGTTGAAGGTGTTGATGTTGTTGAACCTGATGCTGGTGCTGCTGGTGCTGGTGCTGGTGCATCTGTGCGGGCGTAGGCGTGCTGGTGACGGATGCCGATGAAGTTTGAGGCGTAATCGGAGCCTGCTGTACAATTGCGGGTGCTTGCTGTGGCTGTTGAGGCTCAACCTTTGGCTTGGCCATCTGAGATGCTGCAAGATTGCGGTTGTGATTGCTCTCACGTCGACGCTTTGGCGCATCCTTGATCTTGGGGTGGGTGTGACACTACATAACCGTTAGCCTGTTGTGAAACGATAAAAGAACATTCATGATCAATGCCGTGCAACATACCTTGTACGCGTGTCTGAACCATGTGGTACCCTTCTTCTTGCTGCTGACGAGCGCAATCCAATCGTTGCAGCTACCGCACAGGCCTTCCCATACATCTGGATTCCCATCCATTCGTCGTGTCTCTTGAGGCTCTTGGAAAGGATTACCCGTTGCGGCACTGATGCCGTGGGTGAACGACTTGTCGTACCAGAAGGCCGAGTTCTTCAAAACCAACCAACGACCCGGCTTGCAGATTCCGCACCATCCCTCGCGCTTGTTGCCGTGACCTCTTACCCATCTGGGCGTGTACAAGTCACCCTCGAACCGCAACTCTTGCTCGTGGGGAACAAGATCGGGATCAGAGGGGTTCATGTCCTCAGGAGGCGGTGGGATCTGCTCCTCGTGAAGTGAAGCGTACAAATCGGGCGGGTCGGACAAATCCGTGTAGTGGCTGTGAAGTGAATGGGGATCGGCGTTGCTCTGGAGCATGCGGAAGAGGCCATGGGACAGAAGCGGCGGCGGGGCCTCGAAGTGATGAGCATCGGGGTGGAAGCCATTGGAGGGCAATTGCGACGGCAAGAGCATACTATTCATACTGTTTCTCTGGTACTGCGGCGGGGCGGCCATCATGAACGGATGCTGCTGGGCGGCCTGGAGATTGGTGAAGTTCAATGGGACCTGCTGGTGCTGGATCGTCGGCGATGAGTGTCTCGAAGACATGCGCTGGTGGGCACCGAATGCATCGTGCCCCTGATGAAACACGAACGGTGTCTGACGTCTGTTCTGTTGAGTTCCGTACGATCCTGTCGACCATCTCTTTGTCGTTCCACGCTCGACGCTGTAGGGAGCAGATCGCATACCAGGGCGAGGCGAAGGAGAAGCCCGACCGCGGCTTTGAGTCCTAACAAGTTCAGATCGGCTCTGGGGAGTCATCCGGGGAGACGCAACCGGCGACAATTGGGTCGACGACATCAATGAGTTGCGGTTAGACGGCGGCGGGTAGTCTGAACTGAATGATGGCGCTTCTGACAGAGCAGCCGAGAAGTCTTCGTACGAAGGCATGTCCGAAAGGGCACCGGACGTGGACATGGTGAAGGATGAGCCCGACATGCGTCGCGGGTTGGGACCACAGTCGAAGTTGAACGGCTCGTTGTCTTGTTGCTGGTACCTCAAATCAAGTACAGGAATGGCCTCGTCGGTAGTGTATGCCTGGCCAATCATCTCCGTATCCAATCCATGGAACTCAAAAGTGTCTTCGCATGGCTTTTGTTGCCAGTCTGATGGAAATAATTAGCATGAGAGGTAACCTCTGTTGAGGTTGACTCACTGTTCTCCATGGTGGTGACGGGATAAAAGTCTTGTTGATGAACTGATACCGGTCGGGACATGGCATCGCTGGGAGTCTGTTGCATTGGCAGTGGCGAAGAATCCCACGATGGGAGGGTGCCGTAGTCATCGCCCATGCTGTAGGAGAATCCCTCGTGGATGGTCGCGGGCCTGGGCCTCATGCCTTGAGACGTTGGAGTTGTCCATACACCAGTGGGTGCTCCCACGCCCTCTTGTTTGATGGGCATATCATTACCGTTCATGTTGATGATGGTCGTTGTGCGAGGCGGGACGTCTCTTCTGAACTTGTTGTTAGGGTTGAAGGTGAAGGAAGGTGTGTGTATTTGTTGCCGACTAAATTGTACTTGTAAGTCATGTATGCCGGAAGCTGCAGGGACGGGATGGGGCCTACAGCTGTGCCTGACCAGAGTCCATGGTGCTTAGACAGGAACAAGGGAGCGTGCGGTTAATCAATTATCGGGTTGATGCTGAACGGGGACGGTGGGTTGTTAGCATTGATCCTCGGACGAGGGACATCAAGGGTGGCAGTTGTATCTGACGGCAGTCGGGGGGTGAGGGGGATCCACACTGCCCACGTATCGACGAGCGCGATCCGGCAGGCCGACAGAGGATGCTTCCAGGAACTTACTTGGAAGAATCTGGCGCAGTGGCCAACCTGAGCGGAGAGAGACAAATAATCTCCGGACCGGGCGAGTAATGGACGGCGACGTGAGTGGTTATGTTTGTTGGGGCCAGGGGACGCGTAGAATTTTCCTTTCCCTTCTTGGCTCCTTTCTCTTTCTGCTTCCTCTTGATCCCTTTCCGGTCTCTTTTCCTCGGGGACGGGTGGACGATGATGAGCGTTAAGGACAGCGGGTCCTCGCGATGAGGCTAGTGGTGGTGTATAGATGGAGGCGGTAGGGATTCCCGTCCTCAGCTAGACAGCGAGGTTGAGGATCTTTTGTAATAAGAGTTTGTGTTGGGTACTCTGTATTTATATAGTATGTATGTATGCGAACGATCCTCAAAGGCAGTAAAGGAGCGTGTTGAGTTTGCAATAATCGACAACCTCGTTTGGTGCTTTGATGGCTGAAGATGTGTGTGAGAGTGATGGAGCGCGCAGCTGGCCGTCCTGGTTCCTGGCGGGATGAAGAGAGCCAGCTCCCGGAGAGTAGGTATTATAGATGCGAAGAGGCAGCCCCCTCGAAAAAGGAAAAAAAGTATTATAGGTTACAAGGCTCGAAAAAAGGAGTGACTAGCAATGAGAATCAAGGGCAGTGAGGCCTTGGTGAGTGGGACGCGAAAGGAGAGCAAAGAGAAGACAGGTCGAGGGGCGGTGCAGACGGATCCTGGAGGTATAAAAGAAGTAGTGTGGAAAAAGAAGCATCATCCATGAACAGGCCAATAGGTCAGCACGGTCAGGTTCGGAACGTCGGTTGGAGCTAAGCCGGATTTCCCTGATACAAACCTCTTCCTGTCTGTGAACTTGGGGCCAGAGGCAGGTGTGCGAGAATGTGCTTGGCCTGGCTCAGCAAGAGGGCAAGAGTTACAGGGGGGTCTTATGGTGGTGGACAAGGTAACATCTGTTCGTCGATGTGGATGTGTGGGAGTAAGATGCCGATGAACCAGGGAGCGGCCTACTCCCGACTGCTTTTGGAAGACGGGGACAAGGATCAAACACGCCGACAGGGCTGTACCCAGATGATGGATGTATGCTCATAAACTATGTACATGGCACGAACTCGGGTCCGCGATGAGAGCGTGACGGGAAATATAGTTGAGTAAGAGGCAGAGAGAGGTCCGGATAGAGAGTATGAGGGAAGCAGAAGGAAAAAGGGCTGATGGTGGTGTGGAGAGTCCGAGGGACTGAGAGTAGGAGGGGGGTGGAGGACCAAGAAAACTGAGAGAAAGCTGACAGAGAGAAAGAGATATGGAGAGTGGAAGCAAAAGTGTAAGGAATAGCCCATGAACATAGCAAAGCTAGCCAGTCAGGAAGAGGGCAGCGATGGGATGGAAAGAAAGAGGGCAGACAGTAGGAAATACAATTGCCATAACGTATGGGAGGTTCACTTGCACCAAGCCATGGGCCATGGGATACTTCTCTCTCACCTAACTCTGGAGTCGGGCCTGGTTATCCATCCATCCATCCACCCATCCATCCAGTTCCATACGGATACACCTGCAAGACCTTGTCAAGACCCCCTCCCCCTTCTAGACCTTTTAGCCCCCCCCTCACCTCCTCGTCCCCTCGCCATATTGTGCAGCCCATGGCGGCGGTGCAGCTGTGGGTTTGTAGCAGAGAAATTCGTCGTGACGAAATACAGGACCAAACTTGGATCAAAGGCCATCCACTTGATCGCCCTGTATCGACGATAACCGCACTTGACGTATGAGCTAGAAGGGCCCTTTCGGTGGTCTCCGACTAGGGCAGTCAGTTATTCAGGGCTGAGAATTGGCGAGGACCCTAGCGATCCGAAGGAAATAGTTCCCGAGGAGGTGGCTTGTCTCATCCCATACACCCACATGTGGCGACATGGCCCCAGGGGCCGAGGGCAGAGGGCAGAGACTAGAGGGGAGCATCGGGGAGGAAGAAAGTGAGGCAGCGGAATGGATCACGGCTAGTAGCTTGCAGCCGGCGGCCGGTAAGTTGAACTTGCTGAATGTATGATTAGTGAGGAGTGGGCGCGGAGCCGAAACCACCTGGACTGGGCCTGATCTGGAGCGGGCCTCACAATCATCGTTGTTGGTTTCCTTCCTTAGCAGTTTCCAGTGACCACAGTATTCTCTTTTCCACCCCTTGTCCGTAAAACTCTACCCTTCTGCCCTCGTGTCTTTTTGAGCGGACAAGTTTTGCGTTGCGTTCCAACCTTTCGCAGCGGAAACCAAGGAAAAGGCAGGGTTCACGGACGAACCTCAGTCAAGTATCGGAATGATACGATACGACTTGTCTGGAGTGTCAGTACCTAGGCCGAGTACGGCACATCTGCAAGGTAAATCCGCCGCGGTACAAGGCCCAGTCCTTCATCCCGTCCCAGGCCAATGGGGCCTGGGGGCCATGGGGAGGGGCAGAGACTGTAGAGCGACTGGTGTGGAAACCTGAGATTTTACCCATGACTACCTGGGGCCAATCAAGCTCGGGTATGAAGATCATGAATGAGAGTGTTTGGCAGGAGAAGCAAGAGAATCCTGACGTCGGGCTCTTGTTTTGGCAGCGAGTGCGGTGCAGGGATCACACCTGTTCCTGTTTTGTCAAATCCCTGGTTCCCCACATGATGAACCTGGCATCCTATCCTTTTTAGCAGATCCGCTCTCGGGCTTCTTTTTTCTTGTTCGGCCGTTGTGCCAATGGCGAGAACAGGAGCGGCAGGCATAAAGCAGCACAGATGTAGGTATGTGCTCCTGGGTCGATGCGTACAGAAATGTCAGTTTTCAGATAGGCTGACGGCTCGGCGACGGAGGCAGCGGCGGCTGCGGAGACGAGAGATTGCCTTCAGTCGCAGCTTGATTTAGCTAGCTGAGCTTGAGCTAAGCTAGCTTGGCTAGCTGCAGCATGCAGAGCACACACGGCTAGAGATCGGAGAAAATGCGTGAGAGGTTGCGGCGAGTGGATGACAGTTTGTTCGTCTCTCCATATGTGGTCTGTCTGTCTACCTATCTGTCTGGTCGCGTTCCGGGAGGGCTGCAGGGGAATCAGGAGCGGAGGGTTGCCGAGAGGAGGGAGAGCCTCGGGACCATGTGGATGAGGGGGTCAGACGAAGAAGTTCCAGTCGCAGCTCCAGTTCCAGTTCCAGTTGCAGTTTCCAGGCCAGTCCATTTGTTGGTATCCTGAGGCGATTCATCGACGAAATGGAATCGTCGGGTTGTCTGCCTAGGATAGCGAGTGGATTCGAATGTTTTGGACATGGTCGAGTAAGAGGAGTCACTCGTAGTTGCTGAGCAGCAGCAGCAGCAGCAGCAGTAACTGTGAGCACGAGCCGAACATGGAGAATGTCCACGCGACAGGCATCGCGCTTCCAAAAAAGACGACACGATGCCGCACAGAAACTTTCTTGTGCCTGGGATGCAAAGGAGAGAGAGACCAGACCACGCGGATGTTACCAGACCAAAGACGCATCTCGGAAAGGGGGGAAGAGGTCATAGGCGTGCCCGTAATCAACCATTAAGGAGGGTATATGAGTGCGCCATGATGGAGCTGGGACGTCGTCAATATCGTTGACATTGTTGGTCGGCAGACATCGTCGTGGTGGTGGTGGTGGTGGTAATGTTGGTGAGGGTGGTTGCTGTTGCTGCCGTTGCTGGTGGTGGCACGGAGCAAGCACGTTTGAAGTTGACTTTGAGCTGCCCGGCGGCGCAATATGATTTGTCGCTGAGGTAAGCATCTGCAGGGGGTGAGGCTAGGGGGGCTGCGGTTGTGTGGGTTGGTCTTGGCCTTGGTTTCTTCCTGTCCCGATGTTCCGTTCCTGACCATGGTACGTACCCATCGGGCTCGTCCCCTCTCTTCTTCCTGTGCAGCGTGCCGCGTGCCTCGTCAGAATCGATGATGGATGTACCAGTGTGGATGATCGTGGTGTCGTGCTGTATGGTGCGGCGTGCCTTGCAGACTGCAGTGTTGGCACGTCTGTCTGCCTGCGAATATCCGTCCCCTCTACTCCGTAAGGAGTACTGAAATTGTTCGTCCATAGCTCGTAGGTGCCTTTTCTTCCAACCATCCTTACTTTGGTTTTTGAGTCTGAAAGTTACGAACGGATGGATGATGCGGATGATCATGATGGAAGTTCATCGTTCTCTCATGCGATCCATCTCTCAAATCGACCGGCCAAACTTTCAATTCTGTTCGGTGCCGAACACTCTCAACGTTCTCCGGTCTCGATCCCGTCTTGTCCTCCGATATGCTCCCATTGGGTCGTCTTCTCATCTTCTGGCCAGTTTTTGCCATGTCTTTGATCTCATCCGACTCTCGCCTCGTTCTCACCCCGTAGCGTCCTCTCCGTTCCGCAGCCCACTGGCCATGTCCAGGCTTTGACAGTGACACATCGCGGTAGAATGAGAACCACGGTACGCCGTACGGTAAACCCAGCTTCTGATAGTGGGACACTATCCTCTTGTACAGCGTGTCGAAATCCCACCCACTCGCTGCTGACTCGTGGTCGTGACTCGCTGAATTTGGGTCCGGTCTACTGCAAGTCCACCGGGGACGCGGGGGCTGTGCCAGGGGTTGAGCAGGGGCAGAAGCTGTCTCAGATCTGTCGCAGAACGACACACCCTTGTCTCGCTTCAGCCCCTCGACTGGGTTGACCGTTGACCGCAGTCCCTTTTCGCGAGTCTCGTCGGCTTGCAAGTTGTGCGTCTGTCATTGTCGCTCTCGTCCCCGCCGGGACGGCCTGGCTCTCGCATCTTTTGCTTTCTCCGCGTCTTTCGTATTTCCTTGGGTCGCCGGGCCTTTTCTCACTACCCTCGTGCTGCGCCAACAGCCAGCGGCAATCGATCTTACTGTAGCGCCGTGAGGAAGGCTTAAAAAAAATAAAAATAAAAATACAAAACAACGACGACGTGCCGTCTCGTCTCGTGCAGTGTCTTAAAACGAGGTTTGCCAGTATGCAGGTGCTTGATGACATTGCCAAACATCCTCGTGCGGGCAACATCTTCCACCTTTGCTCGTCGTCACCATACAAATGGTCCTCCCACATGCAGTGGCTTTAAACTTTGGGGTTCCATCGCCTGTCACCCCGTCTAAGACCGACTTGTCCAACATATGGACGCCTGCTTCGTCCCATTTGCTTCCGTCCATAGCCGGCTGGCCCTGCATCTGCCACGCCTACAGCAGCTTCTGCCGACGGCCCTCAAGCTGAAAACTATCCACTTCGCTTTCGTTTGCCGTTGTGTTGCAATCGCGAAGGTCATCACTCAGCGGTGGTACGCCCTACTTGATCCCGAATCAGATATATGCGTCGTTGTCCGTGAGGTTCGTCCCCATCTGCCGTTATTCCTCGACAACTGTCCTCTTTGAGACTCTGCTAATACTTTAGCTTTGACGGAAATCAAATCAAGAGGGACTAAAATTCAAATACGCCGCACAGATGATGGCGTTTGGGCTCTTGTATGAGACGTGAGACTTGTCCACAACTGGTCATTTCAGGACGAAACGGCTCTAGTTGACCTGCCTCAACGTGGCTCTCTGTTCCGCCTATCGTGACTTGTCCGCTTACTCAACCAATTCTTCTGGGTGCCGTAACTTAAACCTTTTCTTTCTCTTGTCGTGTATGCCTGCTGTATCCGTAGAGACAACGTCGGTTTGGCTGTTGCGCCAAGAGGGTTCACCAGGGCTGGCGATCCAACACGTCTGACTACGCGACTGGTTGCTACTCCTCCTCTACCCCTCACAGGCAACCCGGGTTGTCGTTCGTTGACGCGCCTGTTTGTGAGCCGCGCCCACCTCGTCGCCCGCAGCCTGTGATTCGCTCAATCGTCTGCTCTAGTGTGCACACGAAGTTGCCCCTATAGGCATCTACACTACCACGATGAGCTGATCTGGACCATGGCCAAAAAAGACTCAGGTTTGACAGCTATGGGTCGGGCTGAAAGCCGGCTGAAGACCAGCGTAAACGGGAAAAGGAACTTCTTGTTCCTGTAACTGAGGATCAGTGGATGAGAGACCAATCATTCAGCAACTTGAAAGCGACTTGGCGGCAACAACACGCGTCACGTTAATGCCTCTGGCCTTTGGTGCTCTATTCGTGTTGCCGGTGGAGAGTCGTTCTTCCATATAACGGAAATCCGCTATAGCTCCTACAACCATGGATGTCCTTGATAGAACCCATAATACCCTCGCCTAAGACGGTCGCCAGCTCCCGCCATCGCTATCCAGATTGCGGGCGCGACTTGACGCCCGGGGACCGCCATCCGGCACGGATTGTACACGCGTAAAGTGGCTCCCACCATCCATCATTCGTCGCTAGCAAGAAGACCGTGTGCTGTTAAAGCTTGTTGAGCGAATCCGTTGGCGACAGTCTGCCCGCCGTGAATATTGACGTGACGCTAACGACGCACATCGCTTGTCCGTCAAAAACTCTGTCGTAGGGCTCTGTGTGTTGTACAGCTTAGTGAAACTTAGCGTTGTCTTCCTCAGTTGGGCAACGGTCGCGGACATCTATCGTGACGCCGTCATACGCCACAGAGCAAATCGACAAACGACACTCCCGTTAGATCAGATGTGCGAATCTGAGAGCAATCACATACGAGGCCGTCTTTGACGATTTCGTCTGTGCGAAGATGCAACGTCTCGCGCCGGTGGCCTCCCAGAACCCCCAGTATCCGCCGGTCAGCTTCTACCGAGTCTTCGATGAGTTGTTCTGTGGATCCTCCGGACTGGCCGCCGACAAGGAGTGGCTGTCTTGCTTGCATAACAACCTCGGACGTTTTGGGAAATTACGCCAACTCTCCAGCCGTGGCCGCTGTCTATAGCTCGGCTCTTATGGAGATCATAGACCAATGATGACGCGACTTTACCCCGCCATCGATTGCTTGTCGACTGGTCTCGATACTGGGTACTAGACATCAGGCGGATCATTGGGGGAGGCTGACAAGATCACATCTGCAGCCGCAAGGGGAAAAGGGGCGGCGAACAGGGTAGCGATGAACTCTTTCCAGTACGCTATGTTAGTCGGCGTTTTATCAGTCTTATCGATGTGTTTGATGTTTACCATAGCCAGAACGAGTCCAGCTCTCTGACGGGACGGCTAGGAAATGACGGGCTCGACAAGGTAGGAATTCGGCCGACGTTAGTGTAAGTTTAGCAATCACGACGGCAACGACGGAAATAGAATGTTGGAAGTGACATAGACTGCGTTGGTCTTCGATTTTCGACGCGCTGTTGCCACATCGTGAACCGGGTAAGTCTCGGTTTCTCCAAAAGAAAGGAAGTCAGGCAGCCTCACTAGCAGTGGTTAGGGGGACAGAGATGGAATCGCGAAGCCGAGAAACCTGCGCTAGTTAGTCTGTTGGTGCAGAATATCAGAATGGATCAACCTGGGAAAAGGTGAGTAAGGGTGAGGGGCCTAGAAAGCCAGACGCCTGATGCCCTACGGTTGGAGACTGACGACATGTCGCCAGCTGCACCTGGCCAAGATGGCGAAGAACAGCCGATGGCAAGGCTTCGGATCGATCCTCATTGAATCCACAACGATGTCCATCCGAATCTAGAGCTCAAAGTGATGGGTTTGGTATTTGATAGTGTGAAGTTGATTGATACGCTGACACGTAGAACTCGTGACTGACTATGCTAGTCTTTGTTGATTCTTCGCCAGACTTCTTGCTCGGCCGCAGCCAAACTACCACCAGCAGCTTGCGCCCATTTCTTCGCAGTGTCCCATACTCCTTCTTCCGGCTGAATTTGATAGCCCCTCTCTGCCGATGATGCTACTGCAGCTTGGTGAGCAGCTCTTTGATGGCTACTGAACTCAGACGCACTAACGTCTTGCTGGTATCCTGGAGGGTGTTCAAGACTGAGTGGAGGATCGCCTCCTAGTGGAGCAGGTCGCGGCCCAGTCATCTGAGGTCCATTAGTAGTAGACGTGGAAGATCCTCGCAACGCCGCGTGTGACACGGTTGGAGGAGGGATACCCATTTGTGGAGGGTAAGAAACAGTAGCCGTAGTGGCGGGCGTTGGGGCTGGAGGCTGGTAGGTCTGGCCTGCCTTTGGCGGAGGAGGCAGAGTCGACGTGCCTGCCACCGGCACCGGGGCAGCACCTGGTTGGGGCGGCGGAGGACTGACATCATCCGTCTTCTGAGTTGGTGTTGGACGCGGAGCAGGATATACTTGTGCGGAAGCTGTCTGGACAGGGAGAGACGGGGCGGCACCAGGCTGTGCCGGCGGGTATGGCTGCTGGCGGGTGGATGATGGTGCGGGTGCGCCGACTTGACTTTGGGATAACTCGGGGACGTTATTGTGGTCCTTGGCTTGTGGTTCCTCGGTCTGGGGAGTGGCTCCTGATGCCTTAGAGGCGTTGATCGGAGTGTCCTTGAAAATGGGAATGGCAGGCATGGCTAATGATGATGCTCTTGGCCAAGGTGTGAGAGAAGGACTGAACTGTGGGGTTTTGGCGCCTGTGAACAGTGGGAAAATGTCTAGGCTGTTGGGGGTTTTTAGTTGAATTTTGGCGAGATCGCGAGCGTTCTCGGTGAGATGTGTCTGAAGTCGGCTCGGAGTCATGAAGCAGACGTGGCACAATGTGTGGTTTCCCATCTGGCAGGCGAAACCTTACGTGACGACGTCATTGCTTGGTGGTTGGGGCGATGTCAGGTGACTCAAGGTGAGGGAGTGCCTATTACCACTTTGGTAGGTAGGTAGTCAAACGGCTGGACCTGGAAGGTAAGGTACCAATCGCCTAGACTCATTCCTGCCTTAGAAAGAGGACGGGTACAGCGCCTTGGATGGAAACAAAGTCATCATCGTGAGTGAACAAAGGAAAAGTAAACAATAGCCCACTAGGCACCTTGCACTAAAGTCGATGGAGGAAGCTGAAGTCGAAATCGGAGTCCTAGGACCTGTTGCAGCGTCGCTTACCAAGAGTCACATCCTGGCAAGAAATACAATTGCAACCCGAAAACCTTCGAGTTGAACGGCTCCCGCCAAGGCTTCCGGGAGATGCTGGTATCGAACCGCGTTGTTTGAAATCTTGATTCGGCGGAAGTCGTGTCAAGTTCATCCACTCAGTGATCGCTCATGCAAAACAGGCAACAGTTGAGCTGCAAAGCATCAAGCAACCAAACATCCAAGGCCCAGTCCGAGCAACCCAGCTCATGACCAATGGTTTGCTGCTTCTGGAGCCGCAAAATGGTCTGCTACCGGGAGGTGCTTGGACCGCCTTGAGTCGCGAATCTAAGCTTCTTTGGACGAGGGAGCGGAATCGTGTCGTTGATGACCTGACTTGACCTTAACTGTGCCCAACTGTGCACTCAATGCAACGATCCCACAAGGATCGCCTGGTGGACGCGGTGCCAATGTGGTAAACAGGACAACTTCCATCAGATACACATCGTGCCGCGCCAAGAAAAGTGTTTATGTCGTAGGGTAGAGTCGAGACGTGACATGCGACGTGTCAATGGTGTTGCTGTTCTTTTGGGCATTCACCGCGCGAGGAAGGCACTGACGGGCAGGGTTGGACATGAGGATGGAACAACTGATGTATTACATAATACACTGTTGCCGGATTAACATACTTCCACATCCTCCCGTTAAAGCCACATCAACACCCACCCTCGGAAGCATCGACACCAGCCACATTTTCCTGCACGGGCCAGCGGGCTGCCAAACGCGATGGTTGGCTGGATGTAGGAGGCTGAGAGCTATCCGAACCTTGAGGCTGGCGATTCTCACTGCTTTTTCGCTTGGAAACTCATGACACCAACTCCAGCTCGCTCTTTGGCTTCAATTCCGAGGATTACGCCGACACTATGGTAGGGAAAGTCAGCGAGAGGGTTCTCCTTCGGGAGGGTAAGTGGAAATGGAGTCTTTTGCCCATGGGGACAGCACCCTGACCGTGTATCACAGGCCTGGAGAGAACCGACAATGGAATGAAGCAGACAAGCTGGCCAGACGTCTCACCGATCAATCAGAAGAATTACTACACGTACGTCTTCAACACCAGACTCTCTGGCGCTGTCTTCGTCGTGGCGATGCTGACAACTCTCCGTTCAACAGGGATTATATGAAGCGCGATGACCAAATTCTCGCTTTGCGACTTCAAGGCGATGCCACCCGCGACAGGATCGTTCAAGCTGCTAAGGACAGAGATCGCGCTCTTGCGCAAAGCGGCCGCGCTGAGGTTCCTCTTGTTATACCCGAGCTTCAACCTGATGAAGCACCTGCCGATGCTAATGCCGGCCTCGATCCCTCCAAAGTTATCATCATTCATCCTGGCAGCCAAAACCTCCGAATTGGGTTCGCCAGCGACGCCCTTCCGAAATCAATCCCCATGACACTTGCAACAAAGTTCCCTCAGACCGAGGCGGAGATGCACGAAGCACTCCCTCGCCGACAATTCGAAGCAAAGACACAAGACCAACAATATGGCGAGGAGTGGTCCAAGAAGTACACCAAAATGTCCAGCGATCTCAAGTTGGAGATGCGCGCAAACAAGCGCAAGGTTCTCCCTAATTCCAAGGAGCTTGTTTTGAACTACAACCGCCGGACCGAGCCCGAAATTATTCAAACACACAACGACCCCCTACAAATCGACTGGACCGACATCAACAACCTAGACGATCCCAAATCATCCGCGTCTTGTTTCATCGGGCATCAAGCGCAAAGAGTACCAGATGATTCTCAACCGAAATTCAAGCTCTGGTGGCCCATCCAGCATGGTCATATGAACGAGGATGAGTACCTGAATGCCGAACACATGTTTGACGATTTCGAGACCCTACTCGACAAGGCAATCAGACAGGAGCTTGGCCTGACCAAGAACAGCACCTGGAGACAGTACAGCTGCGTCTTTGTCATTCCAGACCTCTACGACAAGAAGTATGTGGAGCAGGTGCTTCGATCTTGCATGACATGGTTCGAGTTCAACCGGGTATGCTTCATTCAGGAAGGCATGGCCGCTACGTTCGGTGCGGGCTACACTCAGGCCTGCGTCGTTGATGTTGGAGCGCAAAAGACATCTATTACCTGCGTTGAAGATGGCCTCTGCGTCGAAGACTCTCGGATCAACTTGAAGTACGGTGGCTACGACGTGACGGAGACGTTTGTAAAGATGCTGCTCTACGACAACTTCCCCTATCAGGATATCAATCTCAGGAGGCGACATGACTTCCTGCTCGCGGAGGAGCTCAAGATGAAGCACTGCACGATGGTGCAAGCGGACATCTCTGTCCAGCTGTATCAATTCCATCTGCGAGCTCCCAACCAACCGACGCACAAGTATCAATTCAAGACATATGATGAGGTCATTCTAGCTCCCATGGGCTTCTATGATCCGGCCATCTTCGACAACAGCACCAAGATAAGAGGCCGGAGGAAGTTGCTTGACCGGTCTTATAATGCATACGATGCGGATATCCCCGACGATCCTACATCCGCAGCCCAATTTGGAATTCTGGCTCTCGTCAAACCATCATTAAACTCTACGCCTACCAATGGCTTCACCCAATCACAGAACGATGTATCGACGCCGGTAAAGGAAAGGCTGCAGCCGTTCGACTTCCTGAAGCGGGGCGAGAACGGCATCAACGGCACTCCATCTGGATCCAATGCTCCATCGCCGGCGCCGGAGGGTATCAGCACGCCTGTGCCTGCCCCTTTCGTGTTTGGTGGAAGCAAAGAGGGCGTCAATGGAGGAAGCCCTGCTCCGCCCGTAAGGAACGGCGGCACACCGGGCCCGAACGGCACAGTCGTCCCACAGCCGCCTCCGGGCATGTTCGTCGACGCTTCTGCGCGCAGCGCCAAGGCCATAGCAATCGAACGCGACGGCGTTCTGCCTACCGCACCGTTGGATCTCGCTATTCTGACCAGCATTTACAACGCAGCCAAGGGCGACGACAAGAAGCTGCGTGATTACCTAGGCAGTGTCATGGTCATTGGAGGTGGTTCGAAGACACCTCAGTTCACTGTTGTACTAGAGGAGAAGCTCAAGGCACGGCGACCTGATCTCTTCGATCGCATTTTAGTCAGTCGAAGTGCCAGGGATATGGACGAGCAGGTTGTGACTTGGAAGGGGGCCAGCGTCTTCGGCAAACTCCCGGCCAACGATTCATGGGTCACGCCGTTCGAGTTTGAACGGCTGGGGGCTCGCGTGCTACACCACAAGGTGCTCTGGTCATGGTAGACTGGAGGAGGACGGCGGCAAAACATCTTAATGGAGGATGCGATCACGAGAAAGCAACGGAGTCGGGGAGTGAACAATGGTGCTCAGGAACTGGTTTTTATGGAGGCAAAAGTCGTAAGGAACGTCTAGAAGCCACTGGCGTTTGGTGTCAAAACGAAAGACTACTTTCCGGTGTTGAACTTATGAAGTATTGTGAGAAATGTATCGAGGCAAATTCGAGGCGATCGCGAGGCTCTCCCAGACATCTGGAGCTGAGTGACTATGTCAAACCTACCTAAACACATACACTTACTGATTGGAACTATCAATGTCGACGGCTACGGCGCCCACACTGTGACGGGTGTCCGGCCGTGTGTGTGAACCGGTCAGGAATGAGGTGGTCATGGCAAAGTCGTTGGCTATCATTGAGGGGCTTATGTAAGGCGGCTCGACCGGAGTTTAGAGCAGGGAGCTCAGGTCAATCCAGGTGTATGATGCTCACCCGACGTCCCGCACCGGCACTCACTACCGCAGCTACCCACCCACCCTTTACCTTAACTCACATTTCTCCCTTGTGATCAACAACAACAAACAAATCCGCCCGACGTTCCCAGCATCTCATTCGCCCGCCGCGAGATGTAAGCTTGGAACTGGACGGTGCTCTGCGGCAAATAACGAGAATCAACTCAATTGCTCGGCGAAATACCACGGCGCTCGACCTCTTCGCCATGGCGATTCTCTCCCGATACCTGCCCTTCTCCGAGGCAACTACAACGCTGCAAGCAGTGACATACCTCCTCGGCATATCTCTCTTCTCCATTTCTTTCCTCGTCTTCCTCAACAGCAGCATATCCTTCGTGATTACCGACCTCATTGGCGTCAAGGATGGCGTCGGCGACATTGTCGGCACTCTCGGCTTCGTAGACGAGCTCGTTGCGCTCGTCGCATGTCCGGTCTGGGGTTTGGTCTCGGATCGGCTCGGTGTGAGATGGGTGGCCGTCATCGGGTATGCCGTCATCGGCGCAGCATTGCTTCTTTTCGTTCAGGCGAAGAATGTCTACCCGCAGCTGCTCCTGGCGCGCATTTTCTTCGCCGTTGGCGCCACAGCGTCGTAAGTGACAAATAGAGGTCGGGAACGGGCAACATGTGCTAATATGCTTTTCTCAGTGCCACCATGGTAACGGCTATTCTGCCTTCATTGACGGACGATGGTGACAAGTCCGACAGCTCCGCAGACGGTGCGAACAAACCGACGCATAATCCCCGCAACAGTATGGCCATGTCCCTCGAGTCCGACATGACCATCACTCCGGCGCGCTTCCATGGTTTCAGCGGAGACGGACAAACCGCGACAGCGAGTGAGAGAGAGGAGGCACAGGCTGGAAGGCCTTCGTCATTGGCGGGCTATGTTGGGCTATTCACAGGATGCGGCGCGCTGGTTGCGCTTTCCCTGTTCCTCCCGCTCCCTGCACGATTCGGGGAGGTTGACGGCATCACGCCTGCTACAGCCGTCGCCGACAGCTTCTATGTGGTGGGCATTGTGGCGTTTGTGGTCTCAATTTTTGTTTTCTTTGGGTTGAGAAACCTCAAGGGCGAGGAAGGCAAGGGTTGGAGTGTACTATTGGGTCTAAAGACGAATTCGGACTCGGAAGACGAATCTGACGACGACGGGTCAGACCACCCAACGCGGCCGGTACGTTACTTCGTGAATGTTTCTTGAGAAACTGCTGACGTTCTACAGAAGGTGCTTCCATACTTCCGCCTCCTGCGCGACTCTGTGACTCTCGGTTTCACGGATTCCCAGATCGCTCTGGGATACCTGGGCGGATTTGTGGCCCGCGCATCCACTGTTGCCATTTCGCTATTCATACCCCTTTACATCAATACGTACTACATCAGCAACGGCTTCTGCCAGGGCTCTCCGCATGACCCCTCTCCAGAGCTGAAGAAGGAATGCCGAGCTGCCTATCTCCTTTCGTCAATCCTGACTGGCGTGGCTCAGCTGTTCGGCCTCTTCGCCGCGCCGGCGTTCGGGTACTTTAACAGAAGACGCGGGCGCGTCAACTACCCCATCCTCCTCGCCACGGCTTTCGGTATTGTCGGCTACATTGCCCTGCCACAGTTGCAGAGCCCGGAGTACAAGAACGTCGACGGGCGAGGCGGCAGCCCCGCCATTTTCCTAATTGTGATCCTCATCGGCATCAGCCAGATTGGTGCCATTGTCTGCAGTCTCGGCTTCCTCGGCCGTGGCGTTCTGACTGCAGATATCCCCAAGTCGCAGGTCATCGACACGGTCGAAGACTCGGCAGAGGCCATGGAGACTTCCCCAGAGTCTGCACCTCTCTTACAACACAATGCCAGCGTGGATGCCGTCTCGCGAGTGCGGCTCAAGGGCTCCATCGCCGGCATGTACTCCTGGTTTGGAGGAGCAGCTATCTTGCTTCTTACCAAACTAGGTGGCTACTTGTTTGACGCGGTGTCCAACGGTGCCCCGTTTTACATGATGGCTTCCTTTAATGCCATCCTCTTTTTTGCCAGTTTGGGCATTGATGCTGCTCGTTTTTACAGGGACAAGCAGTGATGGTATGACTTACGAAATACACGTATTATTACCTTGATGTATCATTATTATATCTGTGAATTGTCTATTTATCTAAGAAACATACCTTTGCTATGCTGTTGTTCCCCTGAACCATCTTTCTAACCTTGACTTCGTGCAGATTGCGGACCTTGATTGGTTCCGTGTACTTCTACGAACCTGCCCTACTGTGCAGTCGAACTCTCCGAAATAGCTCCCGGTTGGGTTGATTCGACAGTGTCTGCCGGCATTTTCTCTTCTACGATAGTATCGAGACCACTGGCTACACCGACTTCGTCTTCTGCACGCTGCTGCTGCTCCTCAATGGCCTGGAGAACATTCCAATCGCGCCTTCGAATCCAAGGGCGAGAGCGGCGTCTGGCCCGCTGGATCCTGTCCCAAGTCTCCTCGTCCCTCTTCAGGCGCTCTGATTCTGTCATGGGCTTCGGCGCAACCATTCTGACGACGCAGGGGCAGCAGAACATGGTGAACAGTATCTTTGCGAGCGAGGGTGGAGGGAATCTGGTGTTGTAGCTCTCTCCGGGACCACTGGCCCAGAGCCAGTCGTCTACTCCAGTCGGTTCCTCTTCCCAGCACGGGTCGTACTCTGAAAACCTCGGTTTGAAGACGAAGTCGGCTGAGGTCTCGTTCATTGGGCCTATGGCGTCACCTGCTCGTTGGTGGTTAGTAGCAGCACTGGATAACTCTGACTTTGCCTCTGGCTCTGGGCTCCAGTCTGGCTCAGTCAACATCACCGTCGCGCGGCCCTCATTGCCGCACTCAGAGCAGACGGCGTGTGAAGGCGATGGCTTGAGGCATTTGAGCTTGTTAGTAGCGCGGCGGAGGCGGTGGGTGAAGGCGGCGGACTTGCCGGGCTTCTTGCCTGCGTCTTTGCGGGCTGGGACGCAGAGAGAACATCGTTTGCTGACGGTCCATGGACCTTGTGCCTCGTCGCAGTTGTGGATGTAAGGAGGCATGTTCATGTAGGAGGGCCGATGCGCGGGTACTGACGGGATAGTAGAGGCCTGTATGGCAGTCTAGGTATGATGAAGACCAGCGGGCCGAGTATGTTCGGGGACGCTGCTGTGACCTTTTCGAAGAGGAGCCTAAGGTGTTTGACGGCATTGTAAGCGGGATCTCCAAGACTTTCTATATAGCTGCGGATGGCGGCATGGACCCAGATCACATGCTTGCTGTATTGTCTTCTGTAACGCGCTCGGCAAAGGCATTTAAAACATTTGTATTCTTGAATATTCGTTATAGACATGGCGTAACCATCTCTTTGGTTGAATAGGAATATTGGTAGGTTCAGTCCTTTGTCTGGGGAAACAGACGACGTTTTGTACATTCTCTATGCCTTTCACCAGGTACCGTGATCTCAGGCCTCGATGTTCCCCCTGTTAGATTCACGTCGAACGGCCAGTCTCTTTATCATGGCAGATCGATATCAGTTCTCAGTGCATATTGGAGCATTCTTCAGTTGCACGATCCTCACCGTGTGACGTTGAAGATTATTTACTTGATGGCATCTTACCTTCCATCATATACCACGTACGAGAAATGCGGAAGATATGACGAGAATATGGAGAAAAAGGCAGATTCAAGCCCGCCTCAGTATTGCGAGTCTGGTCTCCGAACTTCGAGGCGATACTTGCTTGCTGGCCACACAACGCTTGTTGCGAAACTTACGCGATTAGACTGGAACCGTGCGCGCCGCGTCGGTGAACAGGGCCAAATAGTTCTTAATCAAATACTGTCAGTAACTTCTGGACTCTCTTGGCCAAACACCCAGACCTGGGTACTGTGAGCGAACTGGAAGAGCATCCTGGAAAGATCCGCGGCAACTCCAATGCGAGGTATCTCCGATATTCATATCCGGCGCGGTGTATGCGCAAGACGTAGAAGGACAGGTCAAGCATTGGATTTACTTAAAAGATTGCAATCTTCCGAGTCGATCGTTTTAAAATGACCAAGTGCAGACGGCAACTCTGCTTCTCTGGTATACAGCATGATTCCCAAGGGGGCCAATATTCCCAGAGACATCCTTCCTCAAGAATGTGGCTACGCTACCAACCGATCATGTATTCAAGGCGGACCGCGAGGAGCCGAAATGTCAAAGCCTCGCCTTCGTTCCCCGTCTGTCTCTGTCTGATTAAGCCTTAGCAACGATGGAGCTTGAAACTCTGTAGGATCTATTTCCAGATCAAGTTCGTCCTAGGTATTCGTGTCAACTTCGAGAACATTGGATAGGCAGCTGGTAATGTGAAAGATAGGTCTTGTCGCCCGCCGGTAGTTCTGATCACTATCTTAGGCTTCTCAGGGTCCTTGGATTCTGGTTTGGTTTGCAGGCATTAGCTGTCCCTCTTTCTCTAGGCAATGGGCCCCTGGAAGAACCCTTCTAGACTGCGCTGACGTGTACCTCGGATGTATAGTGCTGCCGCAAGCCCAGAGCAAGCAGCAAATCATTTGCGTTGTAGGTCCGGTTCTTAACATATACCAACTTCTATCCTTGGCACATGTTCACTAGCAGCCTGTTCGCTATGGAATACAACAACACAAATATAGACTACTAGACACGGGTTCCTACTACTTAAAAGGCCCGTGTCTTTTACCTTGTTGGTCAATTGGTAAGAGGCTGTATGAGAACACGGATGACCGATAATCGAAAATGCGAGTCGCAGTGCCCCTGGGAGAAGCGAATTATATAGATCTTAGGGCCGTTTAAATACCTAAGACTGTTCCTTAGGATTCTTCTACGACACGCTTTTCTTACATCCCTAAGAGCCGAGGCCACAACAAGCGAATTTCAGCGCCAGTCACCAAAGATATTATAAAAGCTCTACACCCCATTCTCGTCCAGTGTTCTGTTCAAGACGACGGTTGTGTAGCATTGGCAGGCTCGCCACCAGACCACGCCGTGCAACATGAGCCGTTGTATATTGCAAAGCTTTAGGTGCGGTCAGTATCCGTCAATTGCCCTCCACCCAAAGGGCACTCTACTCAAGAACCAAGCTCACACTTCCCGCCGCAACTAACCTCTACCCGCAGCTTATTCGTTGTAGAACACATAACCACATAGCCTCAGAAAGAAAAATAATTATATAAGTTAATATAAGCTCTTTCTGACCTAAAAGGATGATCTCACGACTGGCACTCCCAACACCGGATTTGAATCCCAAGTTCAACACCCTACACTCACAAGATCTTCAAGCGAATGACTAAAGGGCCATTAATTGACCTCAGTTGTTTGGAGAAATCCGCTTTGCTCCCCTCCTCACAAGAGGTATAAATTGATACGTTCATCCTTGACGTCAATCTCTAGCTTCATCCTACAGATACGTATGAAGTATGCACTCATATCTCCGAGCCAGCTCTAGAAAAAGCTTGCCATCGCCCAATCGGCTATGAGAACAAGAAGCCTCCCACGAGACAAGCCAAGATCGTAAACCACTTACACCTGTTTGAAACGGCACTTCATCGTTTGGTCGGCTGACCCTAAGCCTTACCGCGCTGATGAACGATAGGGAAGCTTAGCCACGATCCACTTACAACGAATTCCTCCCTGATGAGTGCAGCTAATTGCCAAGTAAGCACTGCCGCTGCCGATATCAACATCCATCGACCATTCTTTGGTATAAGGACATGTGCTGTGAGCTCTCGCGTCTACAACTTGATTGAAGGGCCCCCATTCTTCCAAAAGGCTTAGATTTAATCAAGCCGACGGATGGCCTTGCATGAAGGATTGAGTGAAGAGTCAGCCGACCCTACCTCCTGTAGAGCAAGTCAGCACTGATCCGTCAGCATCGAAGGGGAGGTCCCAGGCTAACAGTGGGTGAATCACCAAGCTTTTGATAATGCCATCCGCACATCAAGAACAGTTCAAACAATCAAACGATGATGTCGCCAGAAGAAACGTGAAGGACAAAAAGGGCTTCCTCGACGGACAATATCTTTCCCAAGATACCCGGCCCTCACGAACCGATCAGATCACTCGAAATCATACATCAAGGACACGCGATGTAAGGGGGCATTTGACTCTCTTTCCTTGAAAAACCAATGCAAACGAGACCATTTTTGACTTTTTTGAACGATACCGTCCATGAGTACCTAGATAGAAAAAGCCTTTCATTTATCGTGCAACGACCAGAAATCAGCCGGCCCAGTCCTCGGAAACCTTGACGCAACCAATCCTACTGCAAATTTTCCCCGAAAACTGGTCCTTCCCTTCCGTTCTCCATCGTTAACTAGAGCCGGATATATGTGTCGGAGCACATTTCTCAACCTATATGTGGGCGAATATAGGCGACCTATGTGGGCATTTATTTGCCGCCGAGGCTAGGGAACGCAGACTCGTCCTTGGTGTTGATCTGGGCACCCTGGGGACGGCCGCCGCGGGGGGCACCGCCACGGGGAGCACCGCGGGCACCATCGCCGCGTCCACGACCGCCACGGTCACCACGGTCACCACCGCGGGCACCGCCACGGGGACCACCACGGCCACCACGGGGGCCGCCGGCACCGCCGCGGGAAGAGCGCTCAGGCTCGACGTAGCGCTGGTCGATATCGAGGAGCTGCTTGGTCTTGCGCTCACGCTCGCGCTTGGTCTTGCCTCCGGTGCCGATCATGAAGGTCTCCTCGTCCTCGCGGGAAACCTCCTTGGCGGAAGCCCACTCCTTCTTGAGCTTGGTGCCCTCGTTGGCCTCACGGACCTTGGTGTTACCCTCGATGGCGAGCTTCTTCTCGGCAAGCTGGGCGAGGTACTCGGTGTAGGAGACCTGCTTCTCCTCGGGCTCCTCGGGCTCGACGGGAGCGGCGGCCTCGGCCTCAGCGTCCTTAGCCTCAGCCTGGGCAATGGCCTCGCCGGCAACCTCGTCCTTGCGCTCAGCCTCACCCTCGGTGGCGCCCCAAGACTGGGCAGCCTGCTTCTCGGAGCCGCTGCGACGAGTAAGTACGGGAATGGTATGGGTGAATCGGTTCAAATTACCTGGCGAGACCCTTAGACTGGCGGTCATCACGCTCACGGGGGAAACGTCCACCACGGCCTAGTCGTCTTTGTTAGTACGCGAATGAGTTCGAACCTCACTCCATGCATGCAACGTCGAGGCATGGGGACGGCGGGATGTCACGAACCTCCACGGGCGCGGGCACCGTAGCCGCCACGAGGGCCGCCTCTAGCAGGCTCGTCGGTGGTCTTGCCACGGTTGCGGTCGCTGCCAGCACCGCGGTCACGGAAGGCTGCGAGCAAGATGTCATGTCAGCGGGTCAAGGTCCAAAGCGGGGTCTGCATTTCCCGAGGTCTGCAAATTGGTGATGGAGCAGACTCACCAGCATCGTTGCCGGAGGCGTTGTTGCGACGGGCACCGCCGGTGTTGCCAGCGGGGGCACGGGAAGGTGCCTCGGGCTCGACGCCGCGCTTGGTTGAGCGCAGAGAGTTCTTCTCAACCGTCTTCACGGGCGCCTGAGGAGTGTCATCCTCGGCATCGTTGCCTGTTGTGGGAAGTTAGGGCATTGGCTCAGAGGTACGACTTGTCGGTTCGTTCATTCGCGGGACTCATACCGAGGAGCTCGAACAGGTTCTATTCAGGTAGACTTGTTAGTTTTCATGTCTTTGAAGCCCAAGTGTATTGCGGGAGCGAAGCCGAAAAAAAAGTCGAGCAAAAGAACATGGAGAAGGAGCCTGGCAAGGGCGATGACGAGGCCGACGAGGTCAACGCACAAACACACAACGACTCAGTCGACGAACAACGAGCACCAAAATAAAACGGAAAGCGACATCGATAATAGAGACAGAGGTTCAGCTTACCTTGCTTGCGACCGACATCTTGTCGCCTGGATTGTGGTGTACAATAGCGACCTAGTCTAGGATGATGATTGGGGTAAGAGACAAGGTTAGAACACCATGACCTGGCGGTGGTGGTGATGCTCAATGGGGGGGTATGGGACCAATTGGTAGCCGGTGCTCTGGTGATGTTACGGATGGGAC